TATTTCTTTATTTCATTATTATATATAATTATAATTAAAACTAAAATATAAATTATGTATTTAAAAAATTTAGTTATAAATTTATAAAATAAAAAATATATCCGCACGGATGTGCGGGTGAAACTCTAGTTTTAAATTAATACTGCTAAATGTGTATAATTTTGAAACTTATACATTAATGTTATGAAAATAAATTTACTTAATGTTTTAAACTAAAAATGAAAAGTCTATGTATTAAACTGGTAATAAAAATTTAGTTGGTATTTAAATTCAATTTTCTACCAAACTCTGTTTGGTGAGAAATTACTTGAAATACTCAAATAATCTTTTTCAAAAATAGTCTAACATTTGGTTCAGTATTTTATAATTATTATTTAGAGTTTAGTATTTAGGAGATAGAGTTTAGTTTATAAACTTTTATAAGGAATTATTAAACATGGTTAATTCTATCATTTTCATAATAAACTAATAATATTCATGAAAATGGTTATCATTTAAATGTAAATTTGAAAAGTTGTATCAATTTTTCCGGGCTTTATAACCGTACAACTTTGAAAATTTCAGTCACTTTTTGGGTCTGTTCGGTGAACCAAATCAAAGCTTCACGGAGGTGAAATCTTAAGAATATTACCAAGGTTGAAGCTCAAGGTAGAGAAGCTCAGCAAAGTCAACAGTGGAGGGCTGAAGTAATTCTACTTCACCTTCAATGGCCAAGTGTTATTTTGTTCTTTTATGCAATCTACATGTGTTATTAGAGTTAATTGCTCTATTGCCCCCATATATAGTAGAGAAAATCTTCTAAGGACCTCTCAAATTTTCTATGCCCCTATTGCTTTAATGAAATATGAAAATCCGATTTTACCCTTTTTATTTTTGAAATTATTCTTATTTAAATAAAAATTCAAATTTAAAATTTTTAAAATTTCAAAATTTTCAAAATTTGAATTTTTCGAATTTTCAAATTTTAGATATTACATTGCATTGTATAGTTTTACATAGTTGTATTAAGTCATACTTTGTTCTACTGAGTAATACTGATGTTTAGTTATACTGAGTTACACTAAGTTATACTGGATTATGCTGGTAATACTGCGTTATACTAAGAACTACTGAATGTAGTTATACCAAATTATACTGAGTTATACTGAATTATACTGATTATAATGGTTATACTAAGTTATACTGAGTATTATTGAATATTATTGAGTACTATTGAATACTACTACTGAGTTACTTATACCAAAGTTCAACTAAGTTCTACTGGTTATACTGCATAATATTAAGTTCTACTAAGTTAGTTATACTGAGTTCCGAATCATACACAATCCAGATATGAGATGAAATAAATTATAAGATGAAAAATACTTTAAAAGGGAAAATAAGAACAATAAAAAGCCTAAATAAATTATAACTAGGTGTTGACCCGCGCCTTACGCGGAGTGAGATGATTTTGACTTTGATCGAACAATAATTTGGTATATTAATTTGTTTAACTAAAAATAGATAGTGGATGTGAATCAGTAATAAAAATCATATAGTCATATAATGAGAAATTAGTATAGCTGTGAAACGAAGCAATGATTCATAGAATATAGTTTTTTGTCTTATATATATGTTTGTCTTATAGATATATGATGATACAAAAAAGTAAAGAAATCGTCTATTAAAAAACAGTAGAAAATAAATAAAAATAATTAATAGGATAATAAAACATAGAAAAATAAAACATGATATAATGAGAAAAAAGTATATTAAAATAAATTAATAAATAAAAAATTAAACATCCCCTATATATTAATTGAGAAACATTTGAAAAATTGTAACCCCAATTTCGTAATAATTAAAAAAGAGTCCATGCTTACGTGTCACTCAATTAGGTAGTCAATTACATTCAATTGAAAAATAAGTAGGTCCACATTCGATTTTTATATGTCGCTAGATATATTTGTTGGTCAAACTATATGATATGATATTTATGATAGAAGCATTTATGATGGTCCTGCTAGATATAATTACTATTTTATTTTCTTTCCTTAAATAAAATCTACGTAATTACCATAAATGACATATATATATATATGACAATTAATGTTTCTAATAATAAATATTTGATAACAATTGGTATCTCCTCCATTATTTTTATTTAATTTTATGTTATTAAAATAAATCAAACAATCAAATTAGCTATAAAATTGAACTTTAGATTTTTTTCGTATATGTTATATTTTGAAATTTAAAAAAACCAAGAATAAATGACTAAAACTATTAAAATTATTATGTTAAAAATTAATGATCAAAAGTTTAACATTTTTATTATAAAAAGACACACATGATTTTAAAACCATATGAGTAAAAAGTATCATTCAATAATAAAAAATAATATATATATATATATATTAAACTATATACCATATAAGATTACATACTTATTTTAATTTCAAAAATTTCAATGAATTTTCAAGAACATTTATAAATTATAAACGTATTAAAGTTTTCACATTGAAAATTTTTGTTATCAATGATTTAAATATATTAGTTCTTTTTTTTTAATTTTCTATTTTTTAAAGATATTAACACAATCGATAATATGGTTATTTTTGGTATATACCATACAAACTGAATGTATGTGATTTTATAAAAACCGTAAGATTTGGATATGGTTTGATTTATAATCGATTAAACTGAAACATGTAAATATGTATATTTATTTGTTACATGAGTTGAACTATAATTATGATTTGTAAATAACTTGAATCACTTGAAATATAATTAACTAACAATTTAATGCAACTGAGACTTCTTATTTTCTTCGTCTTCTTTTTTGATTTTTTTTCTTTTTTTAATAAAAACTAAATTGAAGTAAAAATTATAAATTTGATGGACAACAATTAGTTGAAATTCTTTACAATTTTTTTTAATCTTTAAACAAACAGAGTTGTGTTCAATTGAAGACATATTAATTTGATGAACATTAAATATGGAAGAATATAAAAACTTTTCTTTCATGCTTATGTTTTGTTTTTATTTTTATTTTTAAAATTTAGAGATTTGATATTAATTCTAGATTTGATCATTTTATTAGATCATAGAAGCCTTTTTTTTGTTTTTTATCTTTTAGTTAAATATATAATATTTTTTTAGTAAATGACTTTTTGACAATATGACTCTAAATATGATCATATTATTTATTTTTATAATATATAATATGATTTCAAACTAAATAATGATGTATTTTAGTATAAAATTGAATAAACTGAAAACCATTATATAAATAAAATCAAACGGAAGTAAATATGGATTTATAATAGTAGTTATATTTTAATAACCAAAATACTGAAACCCGATATCCAGATTGAACATCCTTAATCTAGATGAAACAGAACTTTTGTTTCATTTTCCAAAACATAATAAAAATAATAACTTCATCCCGCGCAAGACGCGGGTCTTATCCTAGTGATATAATAATTGAAATTGTTTCCAAAGGCGGACAATTTTGACTTGCACCTTCCAGAGGTTCTTGAAAGGCTTCAACTCAGATATAAGGTTCATGGCAGCCATAGAAGATCTGTATGTTTATTCTTGTTTGTGTGAATATTGAATGGACGTATAGAATACGAGTTATATATGTTTAAGTAGCATTTATTTTAGTATATTAAGAACGATTTGCGCTTGTCTATAAAGCAAGTTCAAATATTATGGGTATATCATTTAATTCAGAATATTACATATAGGTGATTGACATTCAATCGGAAAGAAACCATTAAACCTTTCACCTAATGAAAAAAATCCGAGATTTACTTACTAAAAATACGTGACTGAACTTACTCAATATTAACTTTGTGTGTAAAAGTGGGTCGTCTGGTTTAATATTCGACGATTTATGAAATATATTCATTCAATATTTGAATACAATAACAACAAATGGTTCGTGCATATAAGGGAAACTGATATTATGCATGAATATAAGGGAAACTGAAATATGCATGCAGATTCGGCCATTAATTTTGATTGAACATAATTGTAGCCACAACTAATACTACAAATGCATATAAAGGAAACTGAAAATCCTTTAATTTTCTGATGAGACACGAATATCCTCTTCTTGAATAAATATAAAATATAAAATATATCGTAGAAAAACATATAACAAAATCGTTCTATAGGCATGTTGAATAAAAAATTAAAATATAAAATTTAAAATTTAAAATTTAAATATATGCCCAGTAGACAATAAGGAATTATGAAATAAGGTGATAGCATTTGCGATATTTATTTATACTTATGTAACAAAATATATTTTGAATAAATCGTACAAAAACATGAAACAAAATCATTCTATATGCATGTTTTATATTACATATTACATTTACAATATTTAGAATATATATATATATATATACATAAAATATATCGTACAAAAAAATGTAACAAAATCGTTCTATAGGAAAATTTAAAATATAAAATATAAATTTAAATATATGCCCAGTAGACAATAAAATGAAATCGTTCAAAAACATGTAACACAAGCCTTCTATATGCATGTTTTATTAATTAATAGTAGTTCACTATATGCGAGGAGTAAATGTACCATTACCTATTGCTATATCAATTGTTATATCATACATGTATATTTATATCAATGGCATGTTGTGTATACGTATATGGTATATTTATATCAATGGCATGTTGTGTAATTACTCTAATTAACTAAGGTCTTTTAACTTAAAGGGTGAAAAGGCTTCTGGAGTTGCCACGTAGAAAATGACATGATTGTAATAAACACATGAAGTAAATGTTTCTTTTCAAAAGTTTTCTCAAATAATAAGAAGGGGATAAATCTAAAACCAGAGGTAACCGGAACTTAAGATGGTTTGATTTAGTTCCGGTTAGATTCCAAACAAAAAGAAAAACGTTGTTTAATGGTTTTGGTTCTTGTCGTTTGGGTTAGTGTTGGTAGGTGGAGGATTGCATTTGCGCCTCCAGTTGCAGAGGGAAAAAGAAGAAGACCAAAAGACAAAGCCACCAACCCCCACCAACTCTATTTCCTCCTCCTTTTAAACCTACCTCTCATTCATTTCTCTTCTGCTTCGACGATCATCATGGCGTCTTCTCTCACATCCAAATCCCTTCTCGGATCCACCAAACCCGGTTCTTCTTCTCTCTCTCCGGAGCTCCGTCGTCTCTCGTCTCCCGCCGTTCAGATCTCAATCCGAACCCAAACCAAGAAGAAACTCCGTGAGTTTTCTATTTTCTTTGAATGGTTAAAAGTTTGAATCTTTAGGGAAACCCACGTTGCCTTTTAGTGATTGAAATTGATTTACATTTCCATTAGAAAATGAGAGATAAAAAAAAAAGTTGAAAGCTTTATGAGTTTTGGGTTTGTGAATTTGGCAGAGATACAAGCTACTGGGAGCTCATACGGTACTCATTTTCGGGTTTCCACCTTTGGAGAATCACATGGAGGAGGTGTTGGTTGTATAATCGATGGTTGTCCTCCTCGGATTCCACTCTCTGAATCTGATTTGCAATTCGATCTTGATAGGAGGTGAGGAACAAAGCTCTTATTATCCTTTTTTTCTTTTATTTTGAAAATGATCTTTTAAAGTTGATTTGCTTTTTTTTTATCAGGAGGCCCGGTCAGAGCCGGATCACGACTCCTAGAAAAGAGACTGATACTTGCCGGATATCTTCTGGAGTCTCCGAAGGTGTGCTTTTAACAGATTGAGTTTGGTTTTGGATCCTCACCCTTGCTCTAACTTTGGACATACATACAATGCAGGAATGACCACAGGAACACCTATCCATGTGTTTGTGCCTAACACAGATCAGAGAGGACTTGTAAGCTTCTGACATCACTATGCATATATATTGTGTACTCGATGTTTGCTATTCGCATTAGGAAAGACAATAAAGCAGAATAGATTAGGAAGCTTGGAGATTTTCTATAGATTGTAACTTTTGAGAGACTCGCTGGAATTTCAGGATTACAGTGAAATGTCGGTTGCCTATAGGCCATCTCATGCAGATGCAACTTATGACATGAAGTATGGTGTCAGATCAGTACAGGTGACAACTTTTTCTTTTTGTTTATATGTTTACTTTCTTGGTAACGTTTTCATAGAATTTGAAGGTATCGTTTGCCTCTACTCACTTGGAATGTAATTCTTTTTTCAAGGGTGGTGGAAGATCTTCGGCAAGAGAGACCATTGGAAGAGTTGCTCCTGGAGCTTTGGCCAAGAAAATTTTGAAGCAATTTGCAGGAACTGAGGTGTGTTTACTTTCTGATTCTGCAAATAGCACTGCTCTTGAACCTATAAACATCAAATTCTTTATGTCCTTTCTGACGTTTGTATCAATCTTTCATCACTCTTTTTTTTTTCTATACTTAGAAAGAGGATGCCCCTTAGTAGTTTAACTCATGAACCCAATTTTCAACAGATTCTTGCAACTCTTTCAAGGATTTGCTTCTTGATTTGCTTACGTTTTTCTCTTTTACCTTTTCGTGTCTCCAGATTCTTGCCTATGTCTCTCAAGTCCACCAGGTTGTACTTCCAGAGGATTTAGTAGACCACGAGAATTTGACGCTTGAACAGGTGCGCATCTCTGTGAACTGATTTCTTGCTGTGACTTAAATGTTGCCATTCTTATGAAGGTTCTTTCAGTAATAGTCTTATCGCATTTGGTTTGTCTTCCAGATAGAAAACAACATCGTCAGGTGCCCTAATCCCGAGTATGCTGAAAAGATGATAGCTGCTATTGATGCTGTGAGGACTAAAGGGAACTCTGTTGGTGGTGTTGTGACCTGCATCGTTAGGAATGCTCCACGTGTAGGAACTCTTTGTACCATTCAAATAGTTTAATCTTTGCTTCTTCCTGAAGTTTGATTTTATAAACTTCAGCGAATGATTAATGAAAAACTATAATGCACAGGGGCTTGGAACACCGGTTTTCGATAAACTTGAAGCAGAACTTGCAAAAGCTTGTATGTCGTTACCTGCAACAAAGGGTTTTGAGTTTGGAAGTGGCTTCTCAGGTATGTAAAGTAAACTTTTACTCTTCTTTAGCTAATTGAGCAGTATAAACTCATACGCCATGAACCCCCAGGTACGTTCTTGACTGGTCTTGAACACAATGATGAGTTCTATACTGATGAAAACGGAAGAATCCGGACAAAAACAAACCGGTCCGGTGGAATTCAGGTTGGTTATGTCTTGTGTTTAACGTCTCAACAAACTACTACTTCTCTCTTGGAAAGTTTAAGGTGACGCTGATCAATTTGCGTAGGGAGGGATATCAAATGGTGAGATAATAAACATGAGAGTAGCCTTCAAGCCAACATCTACAATTGGAGTAAGTTTGTGATGAACATAAGACAATGTTTGCTTGGTAATCATCAATTAACACATTGATGTTCTGTTTGCTTATGTGCAGAGGAAGCAAAATACTGTAACCAGAGATAAGAAAGAAACTGAGATGATTGCACGTGGACGTCATGATCCTTGTGTTGTTCCACGAGGTTACTATATAAACCTGAAACCATCGTATTCATTTGGTCTTTTATTGCTCAGGATCTTGATTTTGGATTTTATTTTTCTTCTTGTAGCTGTGCCAATGGTGGAAGCAATGGTGGCTTTAGTTCTTGTGGACCAGTTGATGGGCCAATATGCACAGTGCCATTTGTTCCCGATAAACCCAGAGCTGCAGGAGCCTCTTCGGACAGCTTCTCCTGTCGGGCTCGAGCAGCCGCAAAATGCTGCTGCTTTGTAAGCAAAACTCGAGAAGATAAAGTGAGAGAAGCTTGGTTTTTGTTGTGTGATTATCTTGAATAAAAACATTTAAATTTTTGTAAGATTATGATCTATTCTATTTCTGTATCCTGCTTTTCATTCTGTTATATCAATCAAAACTATTTTCTACGGTACACATTACAAAATTGATTCTTTTACTTATGGTATCATCTTTGTTCTGTTTGTTCGAGAACCACAGGAGAAGTCGAAATGCAGAACCACTACTCTTTAAGGTGCCGCAGCAGTTTGCAATAGTGCTGTTCTTTTCACGGTCGCTGACGCAGCGGTGAATAACCGTAAATATAACTGATTTTGTGCCAAAGTATGTGGAGAATCAGACGCAGCTCTCATACTTTCCATACTTTCCACCATTAAAATCAGACGCATCTCTCCTTTACCTGTCGCTGTTTTACACAGCGTCATGGAAAACACGATGACCCTTGTAAAAAGTAATCGCAGCGGCAGCTCGTTTGTTCTCCGCCATTTATTTTCTCGACTTTGATGTGTAAATTTCGAGACGCTGACGCTACGTCAGCGACCGTAAAAAGAAAAGCACTAATGTCTTTAACTTAAGAATGTAAGATGGAACGCCGATCAAGGATCAGGATGTTAATTTCACTGAAATTTCAGTCGTTGGAGGAAATACACCATATACAAGTTCTAAGTTTACAAAAATATTTGTATAGTGGATGGTTCTCACTGTCATGATAGTCTTTTATTGGATATGGAAAGACTCCTAGGGAAATACAAAGCGATGGAGAGCATGTTAAGACACTCAACATGTCAGAACTTTAAGACAAATTGATGAGATTTGATGTTAATGACTCAATATTCAGGGGAATGGCAAAACTTCTCAACAGAACTAACGAAAATGTCAGAGTTAAGAAGAGGCTTTCAAAAATTTATCTATTATCTATTCTTTCGGACGAGTACAGTGTAAGAAAACAGATTCTGGAAAAACTGTCAGAAAAAACTGTCGAAAATCTCTAATCAATGAATATTTCTGACGAATTTCTAACGAAATCGTCTATTGAACTAGGACACTGAGAAAAAATATCATTGAAAATTCGTCAAAAATTATCAATAGTTTACCTATGTACAATTACTATTATTTTATGTATATATGTGTTGAGAATCTGTCGTTAATGATACAGACTTTTTCACAAAATCACTTTTTATTTTGGTATTTAAAAAACATATTCATAACATTAGAATGTGCCATTAGAAGGATCTGTGAAATGACATAATAATCATTCGAAGGAGAAACTTGTGTGATTGTAATATTTTTACCTTATTACGATTTTCTTATTAAGTTTTCCTAGAATTTTTTTTTAACGATGTAACAAAGACGTTAAGTAAGAAAGGATAGTGATACTGCTCTCTATCTAATTGTATGTACCAAAATTTTGATAAAAAAGTGTAAAAACAATGTGGAGTTCACCAGCACTATCCACACAAAATAACTTATTTTTGATTTTTATATATTTCATCAGTCATTTGTAACTTGTATTATAATTTCTTTTATCTTTCTTTCTAAAATTCTTTGCATATTTATGATTCTTTCGCATATTTATCTTATATCAGTAATAACTTCCTTTTTTGCGATATAATTTTTATCTTTATTTATTTTTTCTGATACAATATAATTCTTTAAGTATTTTGGAATATGAAGATTATGTATAGAACTGAACTTGATCTAAACCAGTTATTGAGTAGTTGATTCCGTTTAGACTTTATGAGTTAGGGTAAAATCCCCCATGCAATTGTTACACATATAATAAGAGTTTGGTAAAAAAAAACAAGAGTTTAGAATTCCGAGTCAAACAAGAGATTATTTGTTGCAGCACCATAAATCATCTCCTAATTAACCAAATGCTCATGATTTGACTCATTTTATTTTATTGACCAAAATGTCCTTACGCCTCTCTCCTCTTACACTCCTATGCATGTCAGCCAACCAATTTCCCTCTTTTTTTTAACTCTCTCTCGTTTTCTCCTTTATCTCCTCTTTTAATTATCTTTTTTACATGAATTACATGTAAAATAAATATTTTTTATATTTTTTATTTTAAGTTCACTTTGATTCTTAAATAATAATTTTTAATTTTAAATTTACTCAATGTGATTGGGAAATACAAAATTCAATGAATTTATTTGTTAACAGTTAATACATAACACCTCTATTAAGATATATAATTTTTATAAATATCTAACACTTCTATTTAACACTTCTGATACGTATACTTGTTAACAACTAACACTTATGTTAACATCTGGAACATGTATTTGTTAACAACTAAAACCTCTGTTAACATCTACATTAATTGTTAACGTTAACAACTTTGTTAACAATCAACACTAGTGATTATTAACATATACATTAACTGTTAATATATTTTGTATATGTTAACAGATGTGTTAGCTGTTAACAAATGCATGTAATATCGAATTTATAACAAATTATGGATTTATGTTGAAATTTTGTAATTAATTGTAATTTATGTTTTCAATTATATCAAATGTTAAATTATTTTATCTATTATAATATTTTTTATATTATACATTCAAAAATATTATTATTTGATAATATTTTTAGTAGTTAAGAAAATCTATCAACACATGTAAATAACATGTCTCTCTCATCTCTCCTGACATTTCTCTGTTACTAACAGAAACATCTATTCTATTAAAATAAAGTCATTCTTTTTATCTACTGATACAAGTTGTCATTTAAATTTGGACCCTTTCTAGAGTGTTACAAATAATACAAGTTATATAATTGATTGAACCGCATTACTTAAATTAAACCGGCGGTTATTTATGAAATAGAGTTTTGGGCTTACTTTTGTTTTTATGACATTTAATTGTCTGGTTTTTGGGCTTAGTATTAAAAAAAAACTCCCAAAAACATTAAATAAACTTTCCAGCTTAATGGATCAAAAATCAATTACTATTTTCAGGCCCAAAAATATTTAATATTTTCAACAAAACAAAATTATCTATTATTAATCACTTATTTAAATCATGTACTTTAAAACATGTTAATATTTTTTAGCCCAAAAATATTTAATATTTTCAACAAAACAAAATTATATATTATTAATCACTTATTTAAATCATGTACATTAAAACATGTTAGTATTTTTTATTTTAAATAACAATCCCTCTATCTTGATAAATTTTAATGGTAACTTTTAAATAATTTATTGTTTTATTTTTATTAAATAATTTACAGATTTAAAAAAAAAATGTAAAGCAAAACCAAAAACCAAATCTATAAACTAAAATCCAAAACCAAAAGCTGAAAACGCAGGTTATATTTTTTGTTTTTTTTTCATTTACAAAATAAACTATTTCAAAATTTTTAGAAAATTATTTTGTCATCTTTTCAGTTTTAAATTACATGTTCGATTAATTGAGATTTTTTTGTTGGTAATATTAGTTCAAACTAACTCAGCGGGTCTAAAAATTAAAAACTCAAACCAAAAGCTGGAAATCAAAAAGAGAAACTTAAAAACTAAAAACCAAAATTTAAAATAAAATTTAAAAATAAAACTGATACTAAAAACTAATGAAAAACATCTATGATCACAAATTTTGGTAAACTAATTTTATACCAAAACATTCTTTAAATTAAGACAAAACTCAATTATAAAAATTTTTAATCATAAAAAATTTCCGCGCTTTTAAAGCGCGGATCAAAATCTAGTTTCAGTTAAAGAAGGATATTTTGAGTGTTTCCAGATATAATTGTATGATTTTGACCATTAATGTTCAATGGGCAATCCTCTAATATAAGCCTCAAATAAGAGTATTAAGCTAATTGTCTCGTCAAACAATTAGTGACACTTGAACCGAGATTTCTTTTGGTCCGAGTCGGTTGAACTACAGTATCAATTCCACAACTCACCCACCCACCCACCCAAAAGACGCATTTACCTATTTACCCCCAAAAGAAAGTCAAATTACACATGAGCGTCGTCGTTGCTGCTTCTCCTCGCCAATTGCCATTATCGCCTCCTCTGACCTCTCTCGCCGTCTATTTGGAACAGAGGTTTCCCACCCTGTGACAATTGGCCCTGATCTCCGAGATCTGATCTCCAAGAATTGCCTTCAATTATCTAGTCAGGAGCAGCAAAGATGGGATCGTCTTACGAGACCATCGACATCGCTACTAGTGCTCGGAGAATAGGCGTAGACAATCGTATCTCTCTCAAATTCTACTTTAGAATCGCAGATAATATCCTCAAACAGGTGTGTCCTTGATTTAGGGTTTCATTAGCTTCTTGTTTCTCTGAATCGTATGCATAAACGTTTTTTTCTTTTGTAGGCTAACATATTTCGAGCTGAGAAGAATATAATTGATTTATATGTCATGCTTCTGCGTTTCTCAAGGTGAGGAAGCTGAACCCTTTTTGCAGACACAGCAAGTGAGATTAACTTCTTTTTTTTTTTTATTATCACTAGCTTGGCTCTGGAGACTATACCCTCCCATCGTGATTACAGAACGTCTCTTAAAAGCAACAAAGAGTATTTGAGAATGGTAAATGGAACTCTTTATATATATTGTTATTATGATCCTACACCCTTGTCAATTGTTTGATGTGAGGTTTTGTCTGTTGTAGAGACTATTGGATGTCTTGGCTGAGCTGGAGAAGTTGAAACCAGTTGTACAGCAAAGGATCGATGAACTGAATCCCAAGCCTTTACCTCGGTACAATGTGAAAAATCATCTGGCAAATGGCTCTCCACGCTGGTCTTCGCCTGTAAAACCATCTTTGAGTAGCTATGATCATGCAAAGGTGTGCTTAAATGCTTTATTCGTTTTTGTTTCATTCACTATGCATTGTTTTCTGTTTTTGGTTTGTTTCGGGAACTTTTGGTTTCCGTTTGTAAAAATATGAGTACGGAACTAAAGTTAAAGCTGCTGGTAGATAAACATTCCCTGCTCTTTGTGTATGTTTCTCTTGTTTGGCATAGGTGATAAATCCTTCTGGGCATAATTTTGGCTACATGGGTTCCAGGGGTCAGCAGTTCTTGAACGCTGCGCCATTTGAAGAGCGTTTTCGTAATATGTAAGTCTTCTGTTTTTAGCTCTTGATGCTTTTCTCAATGGAAGATATAAGGTGTATTGTTTGAACTGCTTTCCTGGTCTCATGGTCCTATCTCATTGTTTATATTAACTGTACTATTTTCTAGGTCAGTGAACTTAATCCGACCTACAGAAGAAACCCTTTCCAAGCATTCCATCTTGGGTCCAAATGGACTCCGTGCACAGTGGCAGCCTCCGAAGAATGACATAAAGGTATACTATAGCATGCTACTTTCTTATCCACTTCATTGACCTTAAGCTGATGTTCTTTTTTTGCTATATTATCAGGTTCAGTATCCAAGCAATATAGATTTTTCGCCGATTGAAATCCCAAGGTTAGACCACCTAGCTGGTTTTAAAGCTAATTGTACATTTACATTCTGCATATCAAGCGATTTTGTGTAGTTGCTTACATTTTCGGCTCACTGTCTCATACTCTGATTGCTTGATAATCTCTGTGTTAACATTCTGTTCTGATGCTCTCTATGGGGAACAGCTTCCGACAACAATTGGTGGATAGCAAACCAATGATAACAAACAGCAGTAGCAACGAACCCGAGAAGCCAACTGTGGAATCGAGCTCTACTCCAAGTGAAAATATCCAGAAAAACTATACCGAAGAGCTTTCCTCCATGATTTCTTTCGAAGAAGAAGAAAGCGTTAGTGATAACAACATCACTAGACAACCATCACCGCCTCCAGTACTTGCAGAAGTCCAAGACTTGGCTCATGGGTTATGTCATGAAGCTAACGAGGTGGGATGTAATATAGATAACTCCTTGCCAGATGAGTCTCTACGTGCAGAATCTCCACTTGAACTGCATATTGTAAGTTGACACCGAAATTTATGTTGACGGGTCCATATGATTGCTTTCCAACTTAATAACCTTTATTTGCACTGCAGGCAACGACAATGATGGATGCCTTTTTGAGGCTTGCCAACTCTAACACCAAGAAGGACTTAGAGACTTGTGGTATACTTGCTGGTTCACTAGTGAGTCGTTATATGCCTATATCATTCTATTTCTAAAATCTGAGAAATGAGATTTGAAAATCAGCATATAATGATTTGTGGATAAATTGTATGCAGAAAAACCGAAAGTTCTATATTACAGCTCTTATCATACCAAAACAAGAATCAACATCTAATTCGGTAAGCTCAGTCTTGTTTTGGTATATCAACTTAGCTTATTCATTCAGCATATATGCCAATCTCAAACACTTCTGTCTCTCTATATATATAGTGTCAGGCCACAAACGAAGAGGAGATATTTGAAGTACAGGACAAGCAATCCCTTTTCCCACTTGGATGGATTCATGTGAGTAAAAAAAAAAAAATATATATATATATATATATAATGATGCTTGAGGACCAGTCTTCTTCCCTAATATCATTTTTATTGGTTGAGTGGTGACATATTTCTTTATCTGATTCGTTAATCACCTTCCCTATTTCTTCAGACGCATCCGACGCAGTCTTGTTTCATGTCATCGATTGATGTCCACACACACTATTCATACCAGGTACTGGAAAGAGTCGTTCTAAATAAAACGATATCAACGATGAATTCAAATGTTTTTGGTTAAACGATGTTTCTCAGATTATGTTACCAGAAGCTGTGGCAATCGTTATGGCGCCACAAGACTCGTCAAGGTAAGTAATAAACAAACGAAGGACCAAAGACTTTCTTTCTGTTCCTAAATGTAATGATTCAAGAAACATTTTTTATTTATTTTAGGAAACATGGAATATTCCGGCTGACAACACCGGGAGGAATGACGGTGATAAGGAATTGTGACCAGCGTGGGTTTCACGCGCATAGTTCGCCGGCAGATGGAGGACCAATTTACAAGACGTCTACGGAAGTTTACATGAACCCTGATCTCAGGTTCGATGTCATTGATCTCAGATAGCGCTTTCTTGAAAACAAAAACCATCTTTCTTTCCGATTGAACTGTATTTGTTTGTATATTGGATATTAATATGAGCTAAGCAATTTCGTGTAAAATTGATATAACTTTTTGTTGTAAACAAGCTCACAATATGTATATGTTATGTTTATCACTTGATTGTTGATCAAAAGTGGGAAAAACATTATGAATCTATCTTCGTCATGTGGTCACCTACTTGTTCTTCTTTGTCTTATCTTTGGAATGAATGTCGTATGATTGATCCAAACCCAAACGTAGAATCCACAATTAAGGACAGGAGTGGCCGAAAAGCTTCATCCTCCTTCACCGCTTTTACCCGCCTGCTTTTGTGGCCTAAACTAATACGCTTGATTTTCGTTAGACGAGAAAACGAACAGTTCATACTCTTATTCATGTCGCAGTCGAAGCTACATTACATGAAAGGAAGGATCATGCCGTCCTCAGAGATCTTATCCAGAGTCTCCAGGATCAAAGTTGTTCGAACTCGAAAGAGTTGGGTGAATCAAGAAGAGTTCATATCTTCGGATAATGTCCAGGTGGTTCTGCTTTTTTAAGACTGGCCAAGATCACTGGAGAACTAAATCCGCTGGTGATTCGACTCCATGCAGATGATAGTCGAAACAAGAAAGGACAAAGTAAAAGTGAGTGAATATGATTTTCACTCTCTGTCAAACACACGAGGAGTCTCCAGGAGCGATTGCTTATAAATATAATATTGAATTTGTATTTCATTCTCTGTCAAACTTACGCCAAACATAACCCAATCTCATAGAGTTATATCAAGATAGCAGTAGTAATGCAAGAAGTATGAGATGAACACTTGTCTGGAAATAGGAAATGAAAGTTTGTACTCGTAATTATTAAAGAGGAAGAAGACTGGTTGAAAATGTATTCTTGTCTAAAACCTGTGAAAGCACAAATCTTGTTTCAAAACACTGAAAGCATATCATGAATATATCCGCAAACATGCAAGTCCCAGCTATTAAAGATTGTAAAATCATTATCAGTAAGAAAGAAGCTTTTTGTCTAGCGCAGTTTTCCGTTCTTGAAAATGGAGGGACCGAGCCATGAAAAACATACAAGAAGTTATCTATGTTAAGAAGTCTTGCGCATAAATCTTAGCCAGTACTAATACAATCCTCTAAACGTAACATTATGAATAAACTGATAATATAAACTTGAGAATGTCAAACACCTTTGTCACGTTTCAACAGCTTCAGGGACATTATATGAATCTATTGTTACTTCTTCTGATAACCACAATCCTGGAAAAATCGTCTGCCATTTACAGAGAAAAAAATAAATAATAATTAGTTGATGTTTCCGACAGACCAGCAAACCAAGAAAGAAGCTTACATTGAGTTTCTTCTGAACAATTCGTGGTCTCTTCTTAGGTCTCCTCGGAGGTCTTTTCCCAATTATAATCGAGAAATCCTCTTCAATCTCTGCTTTCAACAACGAAACCGAGAATTTCAGTTTCTCATCCTTACCCCTTTCTTCATCGACACCTCTCTTCTTCGCCGGCGATTCGTCACCGTGTTCACTACACGCAGCTCCCCTCGTCCTCAGATTCCAAGGCCGAGACGTCGCCACGGCTCCCGCGATGGGGATGGATCTGTGGGTTGTCGCGTGATCTGGAGAATGAGAATGAGGAGATGGTTGGTGGGAATGTGATGGTAGATTGACGCATCTGAGGTATCTCTGTTGACCCCAGCGGAGATAAGGTAAGGTGAAGTTATGGAGACGTTTCGATCTTTCTGGAGGAGGCTCCATTGTACAAACTTGGCGGCGTCTCCTTCTTTATTTCTCTCTTTTGGAGAAGGTTCGATTTTTCGTCTTCTCCTTCTAATCTTTCTCGTCTTTTGTTGAGCTTCGAGCAGTTCAAAGTTTCTTCGTATTTATTCTCTGAATTATTTGTATTTTTTTGTTGTTGTTGAATTATTNATTTTTCGTCTTCTCCTTCTAATCTTTCTCGTCTTTTGTTGAGCTTCGAGCAGTTCAAAGTTTCTTCGTATTTATTCTCTGAATTATTTGTATTTTTTTGTTGTTGTTGAATTATTGTAACGTTGTCCGATTTTTTGGTGACCTTTCTATCTGTAATTAAACTTACTAAACAAAGGACTATCTTATTATATACATCTGTTTATCATATTCACTTATTTTAATTAGATGTTTAGAGCAATTTTAGAAGTTTTTAAAGAGAATATTTCACCCCTAAAAGAAGAAAAATATAGAAAATAAGAAGGAAAATAAAAAAAAGATTTATCATTTGAAAATCATAAATAATATCGCATTTGAACTATTTTCTAAAAAAAATACCAGATTTTGGATTTCGTTTTGTAATATCTAAAAAAAATTGATTGCTTTAGAGGTTTAATTTTTGCTTCTTTTTTTTGCCCAGGAGACTTTAGTAATATTGAGCCGGTGCTGACGACCAGACATTTCTACTTCTAATCAGTAATCACCAACCAGTTCCGAACGGATTTGAACAGTGTTAACAAGTGGGAGGTAAGTATAGCTCTTGAATGTTTGTCCAGATTGGAACTTGGCCACAGATTTGTCTCTGAGGTGTTTTGAGGGCTTTTGAGAAGAAGTATCATTATGCTGTTAAGGTATGTTTCAAACGTCTTGGTGAGAATCTTGAACCTCTGGTCCTCAGAATTTATTTCCCGTTGTTCGAGTGTTCTGTGAGCTCGCTACTAAAATCTTTTCCACGGTTGTCTTCTATTAGCTCCTGATCTATAAGACTAGTTGATTCCAGGATCAATTGGGTTCTCGTTAAGGTTCTTAAAATCTCTTCCACGGTTGGGAAATAAGGTAGCTGAGGAGACTAAGGCAAAGTCTCTGATGCTTGAGTGTGGTGACTACTTGAATGATTATAAAGCAGCTGGGAAACTTGCGGTTCTAAAGATCCGGGAGTTTCTGGTGGAGGATGATCATGGTTTTGAGCGAATGTTGCTCCATAGCACTTGTGGGGTTGTTATCATGGTTTTGAGCGATGAGGTTCTGAATGTTAAACTTTTGATGGGGATGGTGAATTAGTCATGGGCATTTTATCCGAAACCCGAAAACCGAACTGGAACCGAACCGAAAAAACTGACAGCGAAACTGGACCAAAAATTACCAAAATCCGAACGGTTCCTATTTCTCTAAATCCAAAAAACCGAAACCGAACCGGGACCGAATTGAAAACCGAACGGGTACCCGAATATTGTAAATATAATAAAAAAATATTAATTATTTTTAGTTTTAATATATATAAAATGTAACTTTTAAATAAAAATATTAAAAACCCGAATTACCCGAATATTTTCCAGGTTTAACTCGGTTTTTCGGTTTTTTTTTTGTTTTTTGACTTTAAACCCGAACCAAACCCGAATTATTTCTAATTCGGTTCCACTTTGGGTTGTCGCGTGATCTGGAGAATGAGAATGAGGAGATGGTTGGTGTGAATGTGATGGTAGATTGACGCATCTGAGGTATCTCTGTTGACCCCAGCGGAGATAAGGTAAGGTGAAGTTATGGAGGCGTTTCGATCTTTCTGGAGGAGGCTCCATTGTACAAACTTGGCGGCGTCTCCTTCTTTATTTCTCTCTTTTGGAGAAGGTTCGATTTTTCGTCTTCTCCTTCTAATCTTTCTCGTCTTTTGTTGAGCTTCGAGCAGTTCAAAGTTTCTTCGTATTTATTCTCTGAATTATTTGTATTTTTTTGTTGTTGTTGAATTATTNATTTTTCGTCTTCTCCTTCTAATCTTTCTCGTCTTTTGTTGAGCTTCGAGCAGTTCAAAGTTTCTTCGTATTTATTCTCTGAATTATTTGTATTTTTTTGTTGTTGTTGAATTATTGTAACGTTGTCCGATTTTTTGGTGACCTTTCTATCTGTAATTAAACTTACTAAACAAAGGACTATCTTATTATATACATCTGTGTATCATATTCACTTATTTTAATTAGATGTTTAGAGCAATTTTAGAAGTTTTTAAAGAGAATATTTCACCCCTAAAAGAAGAAAAATATAGAAAATAAGAAGGAAAATAAAAAAGATTTATCATTTGATCCTGATCTAAAAGAAGGAAAATATAGAAAATCTTTTCCCCGGCTGTCTTCTATTAGCTCCTGATCTATAAGACTCTAGTTGATTCCAGGATCAATTGGGTTCTCGTTAAAGTTCTTAAAATCTCTTCCACGGTTGGGAAATAAGGTAGCTGAGGAGAACTAAGGAAAAGTCTCTGATGCTTGAGTGTGGTGACTACTTGAGTGGTTATAAAGCAGCTGGGAAACTTGCGGTTCTAAAGATCCGGGAGTTTCTGGTGGAGGATGATCATGGTTTTGAGCGAATGTTGCTCCATAGCACTTGTGGGGTTGTTATCATGGTTTTGAGCGATGAGGTTCTGAATGTTAAACTTTTGATGGGGATGGTGAATGAAGATAACGTGTTGGAGATCTCTAGGATTCTTATGAACTATGCACTCAAATCAGACCTTTGTTCAGCAACGTGATTATAACTTTTCTGTCTTGTCTGTATGCTCAAGGAATGCTTATGAGATGATAGTTGACTTTGATTGGTAATTGTCTCTTCTTGGTGAAATGATTAGAATCCCACTGATAGATATTGGTATGAGAGTCAGATGCTAGACCGCAGGTAGTTCGTGTTTCTTGGACACTTCTCATTGCTCTTCTGGTGAAGAACAAGGGAAAAGAGATACACAAATGCGAGAGGAAGTCAAATATAGTGCAGGAGGAAGAGAGCTCGTGAATAGAGAATATCATAAGAACTCAGAGGAAAAAAAAAAAAGAAGAATACGGAGATAAGTAGTAGCAAGCAGTATGCAAATATTGTCTCAAAGATAATAAGAAAAACAATACAAGATAACATAAACACGGTCACAATTTCTTGAACCATATATCATGAGTTTAAGCAGCATCGGAAATCTCTATAATATTATTTGAGAAGTCAGTTTCCTACGTGTCGCGCTCACGTTAACTCTCGCGATGGTTGATTACATAGATACTCTTAATGAATTATTAGATTTTAAAATTATTATTAAATTTTTATTTAGTTTCCTTTTTACCTTTTTCCAAATAATATATATAATAAAAAGGAAATATTCTAAATGAAAAAAAAATAAAACGAAAATATATGTATATAATATGATTTTATTAAAAAGGAAAGTTCACAAAATAGTAATACCCCCATTAAAATATATTTTAAAAAAATAAAATATATGCTCAGAATAATAAATATATATATGTTTATGAACATCCAAAAAATTATCAGTTACACTTTATTTTCTAATATTTTTAGAAATCAACATATAATTTGATAAATATTATGAAAATACATGTATATTTAAACGATAAATAAAACTAATTTGATTTGACTTGACTAAAATCTCTATAATATTATTGGAGAAGTTAGTTTCCTACATGTCGCGCTCACGTTAACTCTCACACGAGGGTTGATTACATAAATACCCTTAATAAATTATTAGATTTTAAGATTATTATTAATTTTTTCATTTATTTTCCTTTTTACATTTTTCCAAATAACATATATAATAAAAAGGAAATATTTCTAAATTAAAAAAAAATAAAAAAACGAAAATATATGTATATAGTATGATTTTATTTAAAAGGAAAGTTTACAAAATAGTAATACCCCCATTAATATATATTTTAAATAACATAAAATATATTTTCAAATATATATGTTCATGAACATTCAAAAATTTAGCAGTTACACTTTATTTTTTAATATCTTTAGAAATCAACATATAATTTGTTAAATATTATGAAAATACATGTATATTTAAGAGATAAATAAAACTAATTTATTTTGACTTAACTAAATTAAAGAGTAAATAAATATTATGAAAATACATGTATACTTAAGCGTTAAATATAACTAATTTGAATTGACTTAACTAAAATAA